TCTTTTAAAAAAATACAATTGAAAATTACAATCTGTATCACACCTAGCAAGTGCAGTGGGCAGACCGCCAAATATAAATATGTATCACCAAAAGCTGAAGTGGGGTGGTGGGCAGAGAAGTATAGTTGAAAGAAAACAGCTCAACCTCTTTTGTCTAGATGATTGGCAGGCACGGGGTACATCTGACCAGTCTTGAGGTAGAGAAGCCAGCCGGCCTCTGGATCAGCTCTTCTCTCTTGGCTTAGCAGAGTGTACAGAACAACCTGCACAAACAGCAAATATTTTCTCAAACAAAACTACAACTTTCTATATTTCCCTGCATTGTCTTGCAGTGAACACATGCTATAATTTTAAAATCAAAAGATGGATGATGCCATTTCCATTTTGAAAACATGAACCAAATTGGGCAAGAAACACAACAAATTTGACGTCAAACATTTAATTTCCACAAAACAAACACAGTTCATGCTTTTCAGTTTTACTTAAGACAATGAAGAAAAATAGAGAATTTTTCTTAGACAGTATATGTTTAGATTTCCAATAACTTAAAAAATGAAATTAATAAAGCTATGTTTTGCATTTTGAAGTTAACAGTCTTTAGACACTGTTTTCCCTATTAAATGAACACTAAAATGCTTAAATGTCATAGTTACTGTGAGAAATAAGACAAACTCATTTGTCTTTTGAGAGCACAAGATGTCATTAACTGCCTTACATTTAATGGTGCTCTTCAGAGAAACCATCTAAAACAAGTTAAAAATAGTCCCTTTAGCACATTAGAAAGCTTTAGTGGCAAAAGCATGTCATTTAGTTGGAGTTATATACAACCTAAAGATGAGCTAATTTGTTTTCCAATAGATCTCCAAGATTCAAATATTAATAATTTAAGAAGGCCCAGTCCTTAAATCATAAAATTCTAAAATAACAAGTCTAATAATTAGAATTAGAACCTGTTTTCTAAACTATATTTAAAATATAATGATTAATTTATAGACAACACAAAGTATTATTTGCTGCAAAAAATATTAATTATATCCATACATTCATAATTAAGTGTCCATGGCAGGTTTACAAAAATCAAAAAAGTTTTGCTCTTTTGTTCCTAACAAAAATAACAGTGTTTGTGCAAACAGCGAATGCAACAAAGAAGAAATCTCAATACGCAAACATCGCAAAGAAAATAAATACCACATGCTTCAATGTTCAAGGACATTTATAGAAATATTTATGGTAACCTCAAATGTCTACAAAGTAAAATGTGGAAACATTTAGTGCTTAGGAAATAATAATGTCAGAGTTTGATATTTTAGTTTGATCTCCTAAATTCAACTATATGCATAAGATCTTATGAATGGCTACTGCTTTAATTTCTGAGTCTATGAAACATGTTTTTGGGAGGTCTTCTTGCTTAGCATTGCTACCAAATAAAACTTTTAAAAATTAAAAATGAAGGTATAAATGACAGGAGAGAGCCTTGGGGCTATGGACAAGGGAGGGAGTCATCCAAAACTAATGGTCCTTTCATGTTACATTTTCCCTCCATGGCAACTGAGACAGAAGGAAAAGGTATACAGGACTCTGCTTTTGGAACTTAATAAAAGAGGAAAATATCTGAAATGAACTGAATTCTATAATATTATTGTAATTCAACTATGACATAAGTTAAATAGGTTTTTGTAAACTGGTTTGGAGATCTCAGTTCCATATAATATTTTTCCTTTGGAAAATGTATTCCAAATGCCAAATTACTAAATTACAAATCAACTTTTCAAACAAATCCATTAATAAAATAAAGGTCTTCCTTAACTATAGTTAGTTTGACTGACTGACTAAGACATTGTCTCACTCTGTGGCTAAGGCTGGAGTACAGTGATGCAGTCATAGCTCACTGCAACCTCGAATTCCTGAACTTCTGCCTCAGCCTCCCAATTAGCCAGGATTACAAGCACATGCCTCCAAGTCAAGTTAATTTTTTAAAATTTTTTTTTATAGACAGGGTCTTGCTATGTTGCTCAGGCTGGTCTCAAACTCCTGGGCTCAACTGATCCTCCCACCTCAGCCTCCCAAAGTACTAGGATTACAGGTGTGAGCCACCACGCCCTGCCTCTAAAGTTAGTTTATAATGTAAGCTTTTTTAAAAAAAGCTTTCTTAAACTTTTTTTTAACTACCAAAGTAAAATAATCAAATCTTTTAAGAGGGAAACTTTACTTCTTTCTTTATCCTCAACATTTATATAATTCAATAATGAACTACCATAATTAATTTTTCAATGTTGTCTTTTTCCTTGCACAATATGCAATATAAACACTAACATTTTTGTTCGAGACTTGCTCTAGGAAATTTCCTCAGTTTTTTCCATACAAGAATTACTATTTCTTTTTTTTTTTTTTTTTTTTTTTTTTTTTGAGACAGAGTCTCGCTTTGTTGCCCGGGCTAGAGTGCCGTGGCGTCAGCCTAGCTCACAGCAGAGCACAAGATGTCATTAACTGCCTTACATTTA